TTCCTGCTGCAGCAATCGGTACCAAGAAAGGAAAGAAGAAGGTCCTGAGAAAGACTGGGATCAGAAAAGCAATGACAGAAGTATAGATTCTTCTAATGAAGAATCATCCATATTTGATAAAGAGCTTGAAAAGTTTGATAATCTGTGTTTTGGTGAAATTAGAAAGAAGATATGGGTCAGAATGGAAAATCCTGCATACTGCTTGTCTGCCAAATTAATTGCTGTCTCCTCCTTGAGTGTTGTCCTGGCGTCGATTGTGGCCATGTGCATCCACAGCATGCCCGAGTTTCAGAGGCTGGATGCCAATGACAGAGAGATTGAAGACCCTGTGCTGGAAGCTGTGGAGATTGCCTGCATCATTTGGTTCACTGCTGAGTTAGTGATCAGGCTCATCACAGCTCCAAGTCAAAAGAAGTTCTGGAAGAAACCACTAAATATCATTGATTTTGTCTCTATTATCCCATTTTATGCCACTCTGGCAGTGGACACAAAGGAAGAAGAAAGTGAAGATATTGAGAACATGGGGAAAGTGGTTCAGATCCTCCGATTAATGAGGATATTTCGCATCCTGAAACTGGCCAGGCACTCTGTAGGGCTGCGGTCTTTAGGCGCCACTTTGAGACATAGCTATCAGGAAGTTGGACTTCTGCTTTTGTTTCTGTCTGTTGGGATTTCTATTTTTTCTGTTCTTGTCTACTCAGTGGAGAAAGATGATGACTCATCAGAACTGCACAGCATCCCAGTGTGCTGGTGGTGGGCAACCATCAGCATGACCACTGTTGGTTATGGGGACACTTACCCTGTCACTCTTGCTGGAAAGCTGCTTGGCACCCTTTGCATTATATGTGGGATATTAGTGGTGGCACTTCCAATCACCATTATTTTCAATAAGTTTTCTAAGTACTATCAAAAACAAAAAGATATTGATCCAGACCAGTGCAACAACGATCACAAAGAGAAATGTAACGACCTACCCTATTTTAACATTAGAGATATTTATGCAAAAAAGATGCACTCCTTCATTTCTAGCCTTTCTTCAGTAGGAATTGTAGTCAGTGACCAAGATTCAACAGATGCCTCCAGCATCCAAGATATGGAGGAAGTTTATAACACAACATCTTTAGAGAATGGTACAGGAAAATGAGTTGAATCACTTTCTCTTTCCTTTATTTCTGTTTTCTGGTTCTTGGTTAATATGGACTTATAAACTTCAGTGAATTTATTAAGAGCAGTTAATTCTCAGGGTACTTAACTCTCAGCCATATTTGGACATTCTTTGCTCTGAGGATGCCATACAAGCTTCATTGTTTATGTGAGGCTTTAAAATATGCCTCGTATGGTAGTAAAGTTTTTACACAACTAATGTTATGCATTTTGGGGGGAAAAAAGTCAGGAAAGTGATATTAAGTGCTTTTATTCCCTGCAGCAGTCTGATGGCTTATGCAGAATGTGCTTTTACTAATTTACTGCTGTTCAGGTAGAGAGATATTACAAATATGTAAGAACTATGGCACAAGCCAGTGAAGTTTTTACCTGCAAATATATTTGAAAAAAGAAGGAATTATGTACACATAAAATGTGCTCACTAACAGATATAAATAATCTTGGAGTTGGGAACCAGTTTCCTGAGTCTGGGAGGAAAATGTATTGGTACATATTGTTTCTACTCCATGGAAGCATAATATTTATGAATTTCTTTCCAAAAGCACAATACATTTTTCGTTTGTTAAAATAAATTAATCCCATTGTGCCTACTTTTTTTTTTTTTTTTCCCAATATCCCACGTCTAGCATGGTCCGTTCTATCAGTTCAAAGAAGATCTAAAATACTAGGCCCAGCACAAAGCCTAGAGCAAGACGGGAGCTTAGTGTACCTTTTAGCCACCTTTTCTGCCATTGCAAAGCTAAGCAATTCTGATGCTTGGAGAGGATCCTGCTTTAATTAAGACCATGCTGGTGACCTGCCAACCAAGGCTTTATTTTTTGGGCACTGAAGCAAACTTCTGCAGTGGTATTTAGAAACTGTTGTTTCCTACTGCCTGCTGTACTCCTGTCCTGGAGGTTACTGCCTCTGTGGTAGAAGAAATGTGAGCCATCATCTTAGCTGTTTCGGTGGTCCGTCCGGTGCTGTGGTGCAAGACAACGGAGATGTGCGTACATACTCTCTTCTGCCACGCATCGCCTATAGGTGCGAAGAGGTAGGATCAGTGGCCATGTATTAAACTATTGCCTCTACTTTTGCTAAAGCTCCTCTGTTGGTGATGGCAGCTTTCCTGGTTTCTACTATGGGCTGCAGCAATGTTCGTTGCCCAGCAGAGTACATTGCTCTCCAGGGATTTCTTATTCAGCCAGCTAATCCTGCTCTTGTTGAAACCAGACTTTCTAGGGCTGTTTAAAAAGAAAGCCAGCCCTGTAGCGTAGCGTTAAGGAGTGCTAGAGAAACTTGAGGACCTTACCGAAGTCAGTTGTGTTTCTGAACACTCATTTTTTTTCCATGTGTCCAGTGACTAAATTAGATGCTGGGCAATGGAGAATCCAAGCTACTGTCGTTTCAATTTTTTGCTCAAAGGGAGGTTTCATTTTTTTTTCTTTTTTTTTTTTTTTCTTTTCTTATTATCAGGCCAAATCCTGAAGTTCTTACTCAGTTTCTACTCAGGCAGATTAAACTCAGACTTCAAGAATGAAAGAAGCAGATGATGGGAATCTATTTTAGCCTCTGCAAAAGTATCCCAGAGGGATGATTTTTCAGGTGTGTGCCAGGATTTCTATTGCAAAATATGCCCAGGAGCTGATGTGGACTGATATTTACCAAAGCACAGAGGCCTAACCCCTTTCCAGAACAATGAAGCAGAAAAGAGTGGAACGGATCAACCTATATTTGGAAAAGAAGTGTCCCTCAGGATGCTATGCACCAAAATAGTGATGTGGGACTTGAGGACAATATTTTAGACTTTGGAGAAACTTCAGAATTTGGTTTGTTACTTGTTCACTGTCGTAAATATAAATGATTCTTCACAGCTAATTAAAGCTAATTCTTCTCATAGTTACGGTAGGAAAACTAGAAGGGAAAGATAGCCTAGATGTGTTTTATTCTTAGTGAACAAATAGCACTACAAAGATGCAGTCATATTAAATACATATATGTATATGAATACAATAGAATCTGGCAGAATAACAGCATAAAAATTACTCTATGTCCAAAGAAACTCTCTTGGTAGCCTCCGTGTAAAAGTGGAGTATGTTGCTACTGAAGTTCAAAAGCAATGAAAAATATTGTTGTGCAGAAAAAACCTGTAAGAAATTTGTAGTAAATAGTTGAAAACAAGTTACTATTGAAAAAATATTTATTTTACATTTAAAGCATTAGCCAAGGATCATAGTATATGCAACTTTTTTTATTAAATTATGCTGAGATGGTGGAAATTTATCGTAAAATTGATAAGTTCTTGATCAATCACATGAAACATTCTTAAGGCTATGAGAAAACATTGTTTAAGTTCTTATGACCTTTCTTGTGCATAGATAAATCAAGTAGGAAAGTGAGACATGTCTTTTGGAACATATCAGGAGGTGGAGCATCCATGTGTCATGCAATGTATGTTATTTGGTTTGATGAGATCTTGACTCTGTTCAAATCAATTTCCTTTGCTGGAATAAATCCAGTACCTTGGTTTCACAGAGGTGTAACTAGGAAGAGGATGTGAGCCCTGTTTCATGCCAACAGATACTCCCCTCAAGGCAGAACTTCAGTCCAGTAACCTGCACTGGTTCTAAGACCTTGAGTGCCAGAACAAAGTATATGAGAGCCAATACTGAGATGCTACGTGTTTCTACTAGTAACATTTTTTTAGTAAAATAATTGATTAGTAAGAGGTGAGTGTAAGAGGGGATTGTTTCCTATTTAATTGTCTTTACTTTTTCCTTTTTTCTAGAGCTACATATTATCAACATATACTCTCAGTATTGATGGAAGGTAGATTGTCTTTACTGCTTCTGTAGTCCCATACCACATGTTCTTCTCTTTAGAAATATTGCCTGGATTCTATCCACCCAGCTGCTCTACTTCAGATAGCAAAGCCCAGAAGAGGTTATTGTTAGGATATGCATTCTGTGTTGAATGGGAGAGATTTGTTTGTCTTTATACAAGACGGTTTCCTGGCACATTGTTAGTTTCTTTGTCTTGATGGCAAACACTTTGCTTTCGATACCCAGTATTTACACGGTAGCATCCATCTTTGCAGTTTTACCCCAGGATGACATAGGAAGACACCATGGTACTGTGGTGCACTTCCCTGTTCTGAAGAATTTCCAATTGCAAGGCTGTACTACTGTACTTCCCTCGGCTCATGCCGTGCTGTCTGAGGGAACCACTTGTGTGTGTGTTAGGAGAATGAAGATGCAAATATAGAAGGCCAAGAAAAGGGAAATGGGTGAAGACAGGACGTTGTCAGTAGAAAAGGAATGGCAGAAAGGCCTGAGAAGGCCCTAGAAGAAAGGAAAAGAGCTAGAAGTTAATAAAGAGAGTCCTCACTTGTCTTCACTTTATTTCCTGCTTTTTCTACAACTACATTTTCTTCTCTCCTGCCTCTCATCTCCTCGTACCAGCACCGTGGCTTCCCTTTCCGTCACCGTCTGTGATGCAGCAGTTCTGTATCTGTCCCAGAAAGACCCTTCCTAAATCCAGAAGGGCATGTTTCCTTCACCTAGCTAGCAGCAGGTAAAACTTAGCTGGAAACTAGTGAGAAATCTTGCTGTGTACATAAGCAGTGATTAGCATTCTTATGGGCTGTGCTTTTTTTGTAAGAAAAGTCACAATGTGGCAAAAATCAATGAGAGTAAATATGAACTTAATAAATGGCACATCTGTGGCAGGCTTGTAAACGAAGTATCACTTTTTGGTTAGGTAGAAATTAGTGTCAGGCACCAGAATGTGAAATATTACCATTTAAAAGCAGACTCCATGCTGATTTCCATGTGAACAGGTTGCTGTCAGGGAATGTTCAAAGTATCAGGCAGATTTGACTGGTAAATGCAGCAGGCAAGCTTGCACTGTGCCAGGAACTCTTGACAGGATGTTGTGTATTAATACATTTATTCATTTCCACACGTTCCATAACAACTAGAGCAAGTGACAGAAAACTGCTAAGCTGTGGAGAGCTTCGCTAATATCTTTTGATTAACTGACGGTGTTTATGAAGCTGTTAATACCTCTTCACCCAAAAGAGGACATATCTAAAGCAAAATTAAAATAACTCTGTGCTAGATGTGCAATTTGTGTCTGATAGTAGCTCGGTCGCAGTTGGTAAATATTGCTGTCTGATGCTCTATAGCTGCATTGTTGTTGCTTATCTATCCGAAATGTTTATGTTCTGTCAATCAAGAAATGGCAGATGCCATTAAAATCATCTCAGCACTTTCCTGCTCCACAATAATTGCAGTGTCTCTTCCAAGTACACAAAAATATCATGACTTGCTGAGACTTCATTTTAGTTTCCTATGTAGTTATAATTAATTTTTCATGATATGTCTATGATCTAAACACAGTTTAACAGAAGAAGAAGTCACTGTGTGCCTCTGGACAGGTTATAAGATTTTGCTTCTTACTTCTGGACATTGTCCTCCTATCTGACTGGCACAACTAAGGTCATACAAAGAGCAGTAATTCATTCTGCTTTAAGCTGATAGCTGTTACAGATAGTTAGAGAGTAAAGGCCAGAGCTCCTGAAGAGGTGTAATTTGTATATAATTGCATATATGCCCTCTGGGCAGAGCTCAAGGAGGGCTATAATATAATTAGATTAAGCATAAACTGTGGTTATTTCCTTGACAAATCACCTACATCTCATTTCTTCTTAATGAATATATTGGGTGGGGGCAGTCTTTACTCTAGGTATTAGCAAAAAAGCAAAATTTCACATGGTCTCCATATACATGTCAGTTTTCACCAAATCCCAAAGATGAAGAGACGTTGCAGCACACCTAACCTGCCCACGAACATGTAGGGCCAAGGAACTGGGCTCCCGAGTTGAGGACTTTTTGTGGAGAAGAACCTATCTCTGGCACTAAATTGAAAAAGGTCTATCAAATTTCAGCTATGGCAATGTGGCGCTGGGAAAGAGGAAATCTTAACTGGTTTTGTCTTTTGTAGATTAAAACTGATACCATGCACTTTCAAGTGATGATTTTTCAACGTAATCTGCCCTGACTATTTCTTCAAACTGTTTCAAGACAGAGATTAGGAAGACGTAGTATTACAATGGTTTAAACTTCAGTTATTTTTTTGTTATTTAATGGCATATATATTGTCTGAGTTGCCAAATCTTTTATGGCAGTCACTGTGATTTCTGCTGAAAAGCCTATTATAACTAGCATATGAGTATGTTACAGATTTGTATTGCCTAATTTAGTGTCATTGTCCTAGGATCTCGTTAATCAGTGGAGAGAGAAAAGCACCCTGGGCAATATTCATCTCCCCTAACTTCAGCTATTATGTGGCTAGTCATTTGATCTCTCTCTGCCAATGGAGGAAAAAACCAGACATCCTCTGAGAATAACACATTCCTGTATGAGGGTCCTATCTAAAGATGGAATGAGCATCTTTGTTGGCTGCAGAGAAAGCCTATATGCTTAGAGTAGATGCCTGTCGTTTAGGTAGTTAAAGTTAGACCTGATGAATTCCAGTCCGCCAGCGGTAGGAACCTGGTTATCCTCCGATGATGCTGTCCTCTTCCCCTGAA